TCAAACGAGGAATCTTCCTGGGAGATGCCATCTCAAAGCTTCTATTCTGTCTGGCATTGAATTCCACATGTTACATACTGAATACATAAGGAAAGGATAAAAGTTGAAAGCAGCATAATATGTCACCTAGTTTATATTCACAACCTGAATTTGCGTGCAAGATCGGATTAAGAGCAGGACAATCTGATACAATGGGCAATGCATGCTAGTTTTTCAGAAGATATCAAGACAAAATTCGGTTCTTATAAATGTGCTATGGTCAAGATTAAGAAGGAAAGGATCTAGATGAGCGCAGGAGTGATGCTATCGACTGTTCAAATAAGGGGCTTTTAGGAAAGGCAATTCTAAGTGCTTCGGCGTGATAGAACTTGGCAATATATTATCTAAAATAATGAAATTAACGATAAGGACGGGATATGAGAATGCTGTAAAACAAATTGCGCGGCAAGAACAGAATTGTGTCCATTAACCATTATGTTAATACTTGCATGTTCAGATCGTCGAATGAATATGTTCAGAAAGGTTAGTACTGGATATAAAGTCACTTAGGGTTTTGAACGTGCTCAGTATGGAACATCCAAGGCAGATAAGGACAGACTACATGTTCAGTGCAAATAAGGAAGAAGAGGGCATCGTGGTAACAGATACGTTGGAACTAGAAATGTCATCCCTGTAGTAATGTCTGGCAATGGCAGTGAACGATGGGGTACTCACGGCTGTAAAGGTTAACGACCTGTGCAAATTAGAACAGCAAATAGCTGGGCATGCATCAATTTATCGCGAACATGTAAGCAGTTCCCGATGCAGTGGTTGAAAGAGTAAGCAGCTTCGTGAAAGGTGTCTTCCCCTACTCGGTTAAGGCACAGGCATCCACCACATTATCAACTGACTATCAAAGAGTCTGTTCCATGGCGAAACGGTGGCTTTTCTGATGGATGAGGCATAAAACCGTGACTCAGATTTCTGGTTACAAAACGCTCGGAATTCGAGAATATGGGGAAAGACAGCAGAATTGAAAGGATAGTTTTGGTGGCAGTTTTTTTTTCTCGAGCGAACCGGCTTTGCCAGTTTAAAGCACATGTGGAAACATCAGCCGAAGAAGTTAGTGGACCAGCGCAAGAGACTGAGCAAGTGTAACTACATTGGCTTCCCAGTACGAAGTATGAATGATATCGCATCATCATTCGGGTATAGTGTTGGTAGACAAAACTTACAGGCGGCACAAGTGATTGATACAGCATTCCTTGCCGATAACAACGGTGTTGTTAGAAAGTAAAAATACTGAAGTATAAGGAATTGAGAATGGAAATGCAAAAGATCTTGAGAGTAAAGGTGGAATTCATTCCTTTGGTTAAAAGAGACCATCAGCGCTACTAAATTCACTTGATATGCGATCATGGATAATGAAGTGCAGAAGGCGACCCTGCTGGGAACGGCGGTATTTTAAGAACAGTACTACAGCTCCTTAACCCTTCTTAGAGCGTTCGAGCTGAAGTGATATTCGTATCGCTCATATTCTATTTTATAAAATGTGACGGAAATAAATAGTGCCTTAGTGGTGAAAATAAAATTCTACCAAGCTAGCGTTGTGTAACCAAACTGCGTTTCGTGGAAAAATGTAATGGAGCATTAGAACATCATCAAGTTATTTGGCTACTTATTTGTACTTTATTTTACTACTATTATTTTCCTACTTATATTTTTTACTTTTTTTCTACTTCATTTTTCTATTCCACT